AAGCCCATGGCTTGCAGCAGGTTTGAGGACGCCCTTGAAATCCTTGGTTGTGTTTGTTCCATGGGATGGGATTGGAATTGGAATTGGGATTGGGATGGGATGTGGTGCTCAGGGCCACCACAACACATGCTCGCAAGCAGGGACTGTCCCCGTCCCCTGGGTGCCCTCTGCTGTGTCCTCCTGTCCCCGTCCCTGATTTCGGGGTCCCCTCTCTCTGCAGTACGATTACCTGGGTGACAGGCGGCCCGTCCCCGCCGGGATGTACCCGTACCACTTCCCGGCGTCCCCCACCATCCATGACAAAATGGTACGTACCTGCTGGCCCCGGGGGGGGTGACACTGTGACAGGGGGCACAGACCCCCACCCCGGGGACACGGGGAAGTTTGGGGGGGTCCTCGGGTGGCCGAGGAGGAACCAGTGTGCTCCAGAATCAGAGCTGGGCAGTTTGGGGTTTCACTGGTGTGTCCAGTSCCCCGTGGCCATTCCCGAAGGAAATCCATGTGGAAAGGTCCCTCTGTAGCCACGGGACACCCTCGGACCGCTCYCTGGTTGAGGCCAGCACCCCCAAAACCACTCCCGCTCTGCTTCCTCACATCTGGCGACATCTGCTGCCTTCTCCTGCCTCGTGTCCCCTCCCGGAGCTGGCGGGTGGCACCGGCAGCTCCTCCCCCGACCCCAAACCCTCCGGGCAGCACCGGAGGAGGACGGAGAATTCCAAACCTCAATTCCACCACACCCCGCCCATGCCTCCCATCCATCCTCGCAGCCGGAGGAAGGGTCACCCCGGGGGAGCGGCGTGGGGTCCGCGGGGTCATTCCTGGCCCGGGGCGCCATTCCCGGCAGCATTCCCTACCCGGGGGGGTCATTCCCGGCTCGGGGGTTATTCTCGGCCCGGGGGTCATTGCCGGAGGTCATTCCCGGCCCGAGGGGCATTCCCAGCCCGGGGTGGTCATTCCCGGCAGCATTCCCAGCCCGGGGGCCATTTCCAGCCTGGGGCTCATTCCCGGGGGTCATTCCCGCCCGGGGGTCATTCCCGGCCCAGGGAATCATTCCCGGTCCGGGGGGGTCATTCCCAAGGGTCATTCCCGGCCTGGGGCTCATTCCCGGGGGTCATTCCTGGCCCAGGGAATCATTCCCGGTCCGGGGGGTCATTCCCTGCCCGGGGCTCATTCCCGGGGGTCATTCCCGGCCCGGGAGTCATTCCCGGGGTCATTCCCAGCCCGGGGGTCATTCCCGGCCCAGGGCTCATTCCTGGGGGTCATTCCCGGCCCGGGGAGTCATTCCCGGGGTCATTCCCAGCCCGGGGATCATTCCCGGCCCGGGGCTCATTCCCGGGGGTCATTCCCAGCCCGGGGATCATTCCCGGCCCGGGNCCCGGGGCTCATTCCCGGGGGTCATTCCCAGCCCGGGGATCATTCCCGGCCCGGGGCTCATTCCCGGGGTCATTCCCAGCCCGGGGATCATTCCCAGCCCGGGGATCATTCCCGGCCCGGGGGTCATTCCCAGCCCGGGGATCATTCCCAGCCCGGGGGCCATTCCCGGCCCGGGGGCCATTCCACAGGCACGCCCCCTCTCCCCCCCTAACCGCTTTTGCTTCTTCTTTTATGTATTTTCGCTGCTCGTTTTCTTGCCTGCTGGCTCCTGGTAGGATGAACTTTTAGACCTTCAGTTGCAAAGAAACCTAGAGTATTTGGACCAGCAGGTAGGCAGAGCTGGCCGCCAGCCTCACCTCACCGGCTGCTTCTTGTCCCCGTGTCCCCGTCCCCTCCCCTGCCGCCATCCATCCTCACCCCTCTCGCCATTCCAGCGGCGCAGAGTTTGGTTTCGCTTGTCTTTGGTTTTTGCTTTGGTTTGGTTTCGCTTCTCCCATCCTCCGCATCCTTAGGGCCGCTCATCCGCCTGGCAGAAAATCCCGTCCCCCCRCCCCGGTAGTGCCTCTGTGTGGTGTGGTGGAGTTTTGGGGGAAATTGGGGCAGATTCCAACGTTTTGGGGTGTTTGGGAGTTGTCCTGGAGCTCAGAGGTTGCAGTAGTTCTGGAATCCTCCCTGCACGGTGCCGGTGTGGCCGTGCTGTCCCCAAACCCGGCGGTTTTGCTGCTGGAGGAGCCCCAGGGTGTCCCCCACGCCGGGGGGTGACCGGGTGACCCGTGGGGACAACGGTTTTGGTGACGCGGTGGCCCCGTTCCTCCTCGGGGGTGGAAGATTTGGTGCAGTGGGCACCAAGTGCCCCAAACTCAGCAGTGCTCAATTGTTTTGGAGGGGTTTTGGTGGAAAACCCTGATTTTYCCAAGGGTTTTCGGAGGAAAACCAGGGTTTTGTCAAGGGTTTTTGCAGGAAAAAACTGATTTTGCCAGGCGTTTTTGGGGAATAATCCTGATTTTGTGTGAGGTTTTTGGAGAAAAACCCTGATTTTGCGTGAGGTTTTGGGAGTAAAACCCTGATTTTGCCAGGCRTTTTTGTAGGGATAACCCTTATTTTGCCAAGGATTTTTGGAGGAAAATCTTGATTTCGCCAAGGGTTTTTTCAGGAAAAACCTGATTTTGCCATCGGTTTTTGGAAGAAAACTGAGCAGACCCCGTCCCAGGAGCGTGGGGAGGGGGATACAGCCGGGACAGCCCTCAGGGATGTGTCCTGAAGCCGCAGGAGCTGCTGGCCAGCGCTGCAGCCCCGGTACGATCCCTCTTGGCTGTAAATCCTCCGTGGCCGGGATCCGTGTCCGCCTTGGAGCGGCTCCAGGCGCGGGCAGGAGCACCCGCTGCAATAAAAGCTCTCCGCGCTCTCCCGCAGCCCCCGGCGGCTCCGCGGCCTCCGCCCGGCTCTTTAAATCGCTCCCTAAAAAGGTTTGGCATCTCCTCCCGCTCTCCCCCCGGCCCCTGGAGAGGTTAATTCGGAGTGACGCTGTCAAGAGCCGCTTCTCCGACATCCTCCTGMTCTGTTTTTTCTCTCTCCTGCCTCGCCCGCGGCTCTCTCGCAGCGGGGTTTGGGCTCAAAGCGTTGTCACCCCTCGGATTTCAGCGGTCCCCGGTGCCAGGGGCTTCCCTGGAATGTCCCGCTGAGGGTTGGGGGCTCTGGGAAGAGCGGAGGGAGCGGTGACTTGAGTGGCTTTGTCACCCGGTACCGAGGGAGCCGTGGCCACCGCTGTCCCCGTGGAGTGACCACAGACCCGGCCAAACCGCGCCTGGCAGCAGGGATGTGCCATTCCCGGTGCCACCAGGGAAAGGGGACGCTGCTGTCCCCAACCCCGGGTTCAGTCACCTCCTCGATGCCCGGCGCTCGTCTGAAGGGCCGTGCCAGCCCCGGCTGGGCACAGAGCCGTGCCAGGGCCCGTCCGTGTGTCCGTCTGTGTGCCGGGCCACGCCGCTGCCGTCTCTGTCCGAGCTCCTGTGTGTTTGTGCCGTCTGCTCCGAGCTGGCTCCGTTTTATCCGTGTTTCCCCTCACAAAAAAAAAAAAAATCATCTAAAAGGAGCGACAGCAGCGCGGGGCCACCGCTGGAGCCCCTGGGCCACCCCGGGAGGTGGCATTTCGCATCCCGACGATCCTGGACTGGTCACCGCCGGCCTGGAACGGGGAGTCCCCCGCTGACCTGTGCCCTTTCCTTCCCTGTGTGCCGCAGATGAGCGAGAGCGAGACCCTCATCACTATGGTGAACAGGATGGTGGAGACCTCCTCCCCTAGGGCCCAGCTCTACATGCAAGTAAGGCTCCGGCCACCGGGCCCCGCATGGCTCGTGCCCGGCGCCACCCCCGCGCCACCCGGGGTCACCTCTCGCCACCCGGGGCCACCCGGGGTCACCTCTCGCCATCGCCACTCACGCGGCTCCGGCACATCCCGCTGGCGGGGGACGCGCTGGGCCATCCCAGGCTTTGCTAATCCATCCATGAGCCATTCCGAGCCGGAGAATCCTCGCTCTGGCGGCGCCAGGTGGGGACGGAGCTGCCCCGGGGGATCTCGGGCCGGACGCGGGGATCGGCTCGTCTTTGTTTTTGCCGGTGTTTTGCGAGGAGAAGGTGTGGGGTGACAGGAGTGCAGCCCGGGGCTTTTAAACCATGGAAAAATCCCTGGAAGAGGGGACTGGGGTGACAGGAGTGCAGCCCGGGGCTTTTAAACCGTGGAAAAGTCTCTGGAAGAGGGGACAGGGTGACAGGAGCACAGCCCAGGGCTTTTAAACCATGGAAAAGTCTCTGGAAGAGGGGACAGGGTGACAGCAGTGCAGCCCGGGGCTCTTAAATCGACACAAAAATCCCTAAAACAGGGACAGGGAACAGGGACAGGGAACAGGGGTGACAGGAGTGCATCCACGGCTCTTAAATCGATGGAAAAATCCCTAAAACAGGGACGGGGGACAGGGGTGACAGGAGTGCAGCCCGGGGCTTTTAAACCGTGGAAAAATCTCTGGAAGAGGGGACAGGGGCGACAGGAGCGCAGCCCAGGGCTCTTAAATCGACGGAAAAATCCCTAAAACGGGGACAGGGAACAGGGGTGACAGGAGCACAGCTCAGGGCTTTTAAACCGATTGAAAAATCCTGGAAGAGGGGACAGGGACGACAGGAGTGCATCCCAGGGCTTTTAAACCATGGAAAAATCTCTGGAAGAGGGGACAGAGGTGTGGCCCACGGCTCTTAAATCGACGGGAAAATCCCTGAAACAGGGACGGGGAACAGGAGTGACACAAGCGCACCCACGGCTCTTAAATCGACAGAAAAATCCCTGAAACGGGGACAGGGATCAGCCTTTCCCCCCCTGGAAACCCTTTCTGTTCCCAGCGCTGGGATTTCCCTTCAAGGTCCCATCGCTCGAGCCCCATCCCGGGCACCTCCCGAATGGGGTTTTCCGACCAAAAAAAAGCGCCTCTTTCCACCTGATTCCAGCACGGAGGGTGAAACAGGAGCTGCGGGGATGCTCCTGTGCCTGGCCCGATCCTCCCGGCTCTGCCTCCAGCCCCGCGGGCGTTTTTCCCATCTGCGGATCCCATTTGCATCAGCCCGCGGCTCCCTCGCTGCTTTCCAGCAATAATCACCCCCTTCCTCCTATCTCGTGCCTTTCATCTCCAGCTCTCGGCGGCTTTTAATTGCCGAAGGAAAGGTCCCATTAGTGACTGAGATTTCCAGGAAAGGAAAATGACTCACGGAGGAGCCGGGGCGGCGGTAAACAGGCCCTGCCGCCGCAGCGGCTGCTGATTTATGTGCGCTCCCGCTCTGCCGGGGTGGAATTGCGGCTCAGCCGCGCTGCCTTTGTTTTTCCCGGCCTCTGGAATGGTTCGCGATTTGCGGGGAGTCTCTGTGAGCTCGGCGCCCCGCGGGGTCGTTCCTGATGGGAATGGGCAGGGAGAGGTTGCGGTGACATCCCAGGGAATGGGCAGGGAGAGGTTGCGGTGACATCCCAGGGAATGGGCAGGGAGAGGTTGCGACTTCACCCGGCGACATCCCGGTGACTCCCGACTGATCGGGGGCATCCGACTCGGCTCCCGCCTCCTTTTCCCGGCTCGCAGGGACGGCAGAGAGGGGCTGGGAGCTGCCTCCCCTTCCCGGGGCGTCCCGGGCTGGGGCCGGGCTCACGGTTCTCTCTCCCCTCAGGTGACGCCTTTCCCGGAGCCCTTCAGGGACAGCGTGCACCCCTACAAGATCAGCGAGCAGGACACCGATGTAAGGGCGAGTTCTGTCCCCTCTGTCCCCTCTCCGTGTCCCCCCAGCCGTGCCCAGAGCTGCTCCCAGTCCCTTTAAGAATAAATTTTATTATTTTATTGATTTATTCTTATTTAAGAATAAATCTTCCCGTGAGTTGAGGTCTTCCCCATTTCCCAGTTTGCCCCGTGTCACCCTGGAGTCCCTGTGATGACAGCAGGGGCCATAAATCCCATAAATCAGTCCAGCACCCTGTCCCAGGGGGACATTCCCATTCTCCCAGCGGGATCCTCACCCTCCTCATCCTCTCCCCCTTTTTCTCTTCCCCTCCCGGTGCAGAAGCTGCTGGGGAAGCTCTGCGAGCAGAACAAGGTGCTGCGGGAGCAGGAGAGGCTGGTGCAGCAGCTGCGGGCCGAGAAGGTACGTGGGGACACCTCAGATGGCCGCGTGGTGACACGGTGGTGGCAGCTGAGTGGCCAGGAAGGGTAATGTCACCACCAAGGACGGTTTGGGTTGGGAAAGGACATTGGAAACATCTCGTTCCACCCCTGGGTTCTCCGAGTCTTGTCCAGAGTGGCTTTGGGCACTTCCAGGTTGTCCCAACTCTTATCCAGGGTGGCTTTGGACATTCCAAGTTGCTCCAAGTTTTGTCCAGGGTGGCTTTGGATATTCCAGGTTGTCCCAAGTCTTGTCCAGAGTGCTTTGGACACTTTCGAGTTGCTCCAAGTTTTGTCCAGAGTGGCTTTGAACATTCCAGATTGCTCCAAGTGTTGACCAGAGTGGATTTGGACATTCCAGGTTGCCCCAACTCTTGTCCAGTGTGGCTTTGAGCACTTCCAAATTTCTCCAACTCCTGTCCAGTGCGGCTTTGGACATTCCAAACTTCTCTAGGTTTTGTCCAGGGTGACTTTGGACATTTCCAGATTGCCCCAAGTCTGTCTAGAGTGGATTTAGACATTCCTGGGATGGGGACGACACACCCTGGGGACATTTCTGAGCCGGGGGAGTGGCCCTGGGTCAGCCAGGACCTCATGGCTCCGTCTGTCCCCGCAGGAGAGCCTGGAGAGCGCCCTGATGGGGACACACCAGGAGCTGGAGATGTTYGGGAGCCAGCCCGCCTACCCGGAGAAACTGCTGCACAAGAAGGAATCGCTGCAGAACCAGCTCATCAACATCCGGGTGGAGCTGTCCCAGGCCAGCACGGTAACCGTGGGGA